ATATAGGACTACCATATATAGGACTACCATATATAGGACTACCATATATATAGGACTACCATATATATAGGACTACCACATATAGGACTACCACATATAGGACTACCATATATAGGACTACCATATATATAGGACTACCATATATAGGACTATAAGTTTCTACAGGAGAAATCTTTGACAATTTTTGGCTTAAGATCAACGATGGAATAAGGCTGTTTATAGACTTATGGACAATGTAGATATGTTGATTGCTATTGAGCTACATATGTACTCTGTTTAGAAATGAGGACTCACTCTAATTTTCCCAAAATGGTGGGGTCTGGATGATAGATGCCAGACCTTGGTACACGATCATATACCACTGTACATCACACAAACATACATCCTAACAATTAAGTTAGACCAAGCAAAGATACCAGACCTTGGTACGCGAACATATACTACTGTACATCAGATAAACATACATCCTAACAATGAAGTTAGACCAAGCAAAGTAATTGGTGTGTCGTCTCTTTTTGCCCTCAACAATAATATTAAGCAAAAGTTTTGTTTAACAGAATTCTTTTTACGAAGGTACAATCTATTTACCTGATAGTGATTTAACTAGGTTTGGGATTGTCTGCCCCTACTTACAGGTGAGTATCCCAGGTGTCAGTCCGGTCGGGGTCCCATGCTCGTTATCGTATACCAACTTTCCTCCATACCACAGCACAACAGAAATGGCCCCGTATGCCACAGTCCCGATTACACCCGTGAAACCACCTACAGTGACAGGAGAACGTACTAAGTCAAATTGATCTATATATACAATTTCTAACACGATTTGTTTGCAACGCGTGTTTTGATTGGATATGGACCATGTTCTAATCTGCGATATAATCATGATCAATCGTGTTAAGCTCCTCCCATCGCACTTAAGGCACGCCCCGTTTCTAACCTAAACAATATGGCGTCACGCTCGCCTCTTAGCGAAATCCCACTGATAAGGCTAGCAGGCAACAGTACAGAAACGACCGATGAAATGTATTTGCTGAATGAATTAAAAAGTAAAAGTAAACATTCCTTGCTCTTACCTCCATTTATTACCGAAACGTTTGTTCCATCAGTGTGAAGGCATCTAGTTAGATCCGAAATCAAATGAAACATTTCACATGTGTCTTATGAATTTACACAAAACTCTTCACAAATCTAAACAAATAATCACCGATTTTGTTGATAAGCAGATTGGTATGCATTATACTGACATGGAAATGTCAGAATTTGGTCAATATTAATCCAAATGTGTCATATAAACTTTGGTAACAGGACGTTCACGAACAATCCAAATATTCCGCCTCGTCAACATACAGATCGAGAACTTGCCAGTATGGGCGGGGCCAAATGACCGACTTTTGAAAGCTTCTTTCTGATTGGTCAGTCAGCTGCAGAATGACACGTCACCAGTTCAGGTCACAGAGTCACAGAGTACGTACTTTTGTACAAGGAAATACATGAAATTTGGTTTAAACTTGGTCTCGAGTTCAAACCAAACCCCATGTTCTAATCACCAGTATAGCCACTCAAAACAACGTACTATCCCCTAAGTAGATGTGCAGAACCATCAAAAACACCCCGAATCAAAAATGAAACAACATACTGATGAATCGAAACTGTTTCCATACATGATATCATCTTCAACATATCAGTAATAAAACGTAGTTTAAACGTCTATTTAGGAATTAATTATTATAATTTACAAATGCTACCATTTCAACCCAGTTTCAAGCTCTTTTCAAGATACTGGACTTGATTTAAAAGTGTTTTTTTCAAATTCTTAGTAAAAGCTATTGCAGTTCTGTAAAAGATGATTTTTAAATCTAATTGATGTTTACATTTTGTTTATAAATGAATATTTGATGTATACTTTGATGAAAATTTGTAGATTTTTTGTTTTTTTAGCAGCTGACCTGTGACTAACGCCAGTTTCTTTCCAACATTGTAACTCTCATCAATCTCCACCCCGTACATGTGTCCAGCCTTTCCTTCGGCCGAGAAAGTGCGTACTGTTCGTAGGCTGGACAGGCTTTCCTCTGCCATGGTGCCGGCGTCTGCTAGCTTGTCCTGGAACTTCTTCCTCAGTTTCTTCAACAGCTTTCCTGTTACATAGGACAACATGGTTAACAAAATAACTGGTGTAATATTTCTAACCTTGTAAGATTGGCCTTAATATTTTAAAGTTTGTTGAATCCCATATATGTTTATCGAAAGATTTTAAGAAAATATAAGCTGAATCCCTAGAGGCAGGCAAGATATTTCTTCACCCCTCTCAATATTATATATGGTTTTGAGTTGCATGGGGATTTCAACTGCAGTCAAGCTAGCTATGACCCAGGGAGTAAGTCCCTAAGGATGGTGCCAGGCCCCAAAACACATTATAGTACCATGAGTACCGTAAAAGCCCATGTAATTTGCGCACTTTTTTTTCAGAATTTTAATACCCAAAGTGGGGGGTGCGTAAAATACACAGGTATAGAAAATTTCAAGTTCTTTTCAGGAAAAGATCGACGATTCTGGGAGATCGCCATCTTGGATTATTTCCCTTGGTACACGGAAGACGATCAACAAATTACAAAAGGAAGTAATAACCCTACTCATCAGACTGATATAAGGAAGTAATAACTCTACTCATCAGACTGACATAAGGAAGTAATAACCCTACTCATCAGACTGACATAAGGAAGTAATAACTCTACTCATCAGATTGACATAAGGATGTAATAACCCTACTCATCAGATTGACATAAGGATGTAATAACCCTACTCATCAGACTGACATATTTGATGAAGCGTTATACCCACCATACTGGACAGCTCCTAGTGACACAATTGGTACTATGGACAACAGCACACCTGTTAACGAGGGGTTCAGGTAAAACATGAACCCCAACGAGCCAATCAGCTGCAGTATATTCCTCACCAGCATGGACATGTTCACCTGAGGTAATACCAAAACAACTTTAATCAAGTTTATTTACTGTAAACAGACTTTTAACTGTTTTAGAAATTTCGTGCTCATTTGTAAGCACTCGATGACGATAAATGCTAATACATGATATTATATAATTATAAAGCATCTTGCATGAGTTTCAATATCATTTGAGATCTAGATTTATAACAAATCGAGTTGATATAATCAGGTCATGGGATATATTAGTATCATTTTTATACTGATCAATCCAAGTGGTATTTTCTATCAGTCTCATATTTTTTGTTTAGCTTCAGATGAAGTGACAGTAGAACAAGTTCTTGTTTTGTTTATACATTGAGGTATTGATATATGCATTATGTACTTAGTCTGTGATAACATTTTCGTAAGCAAATCCTACCAAAAAACAGCATAAAACATCATATAACTAGCATGTTACTGGCCAAATGTCATTAGCCTAGACCTCTTAGTTATTCAGAAGAAGTTGTATAAAGGTAGCCCTTCATCCAAGCATGCTACTGGGAAAACAAATCATCACTCTGGGCATTTTGGTTATTCAAAAGAAGTTGTTTAAAGTTTTTAACATATTTGACCCATGTGACCTTGAAAATACATATATATGTAGGTGAAGGTCATTTATTTGAACAAACTTAGTAGCCCTTCATCCCAATTTGCTTCTGGCCAAATATCATCACACTAGGCCTTTTGGTTATAAGAAGAAGTTGTTTAAAGTAAAATATTGACGCCACACGGACGCTGCACCATGGCATAAGCTCAAATTGGTGAGCTAAAAATTGAGCTTGATGTGATTAAATATTAATGTTTTTATGTAGGTTTCTTACAGTATTTTAAATCTGACAAATTGAGAATTTGTTAAATTTTGTCTTTTTAAAGTTCAGATAAAAACAGATCTAGACCCAGAGGAATACTCACTGTGACAGCGTTCTGTAACACCTGTGTGTCTGATGACAGCCGATTACAGAGTTCACCCGTGCTACAAACAAATCATAAATAGATGACAGCCGATTACAGAGTTCACCCGTGCGACAAACAAATCATAAATAGATGACAGCCGATTACAGAGCTCACCCGTCCTACAAACAAATCATAAATAGAGGACAGCCGATTACAGAGTTCACCCGTGCTACAAACAAATCATAAATAGATGACAGCCGCTTACAGAGTTCACCCGTCCTACAAACTAATCATAAATAGATGACAGCCGATTACAGAGTTCTCCCGTCCTACAAACAAATCATAAATAGATGACAGCCGCTTACAGAGTTCACCCGTCCTACAAACTAATCATAAATAGATGACAGCCGATTAAAGAGTTCACCCGTCCCACAAACAAATCATAAATAGATGACAGCCGATTACAGAGCTCACCCGTCCTACAAACAAATCATAAATAGATGACAGCCGATAACAGAGTTCACCCGTCCTACAAACTAATCATAAATAGATGACAGCCGATCACAGAGTTCACCCGTCCTACAAACAAATCATCAATAGATGACAGCCGATTACAGAGTTCACCCGTCCTACAAACAAATCATCAATAGATGACAGCCGATTACAGAGTTCACCCGTCCCACAAACAAATCATAAATAGATGACAGCAGATAACTTGACAACAGAATTCATGGTGTCTAGATACCTTGACAACAGAATTCATGGTGTATAGGTAGCAGGACATCAGGATTAATGGTGTTTAGAAATTTGTACAACATGTTTAGAGGTAACTTGATCAATGAGGCTTGATTGTACTTTAACATTACAAAGCAGGACAAAGAAAGTGTAAACCTTCGTCAGGAGACCAACTTCAACACCGGTTTTTAGGGACCATTTTTTGAAGACTACCCATTGCATTTTTAATTTTTTTATTTCAACTTATTATAAGATACTGTATTAAGAGACTATTGGTGGACTTCTCGACGGCGTTCTCTGAAAACAGGTTTGGCAGAGTTTTCTTATCTCGCATGCATACATGGTACATACCGGTTTGTGTCAAAGAAGGCTACCTCTTGCTGAATGATGGAGTTGAAGAGCCGCTTACGTAACCGAGCCACCAGCCTCATTCCCGCCAGTGTGAATAACCAGGCCCGAATCATACCAAAGATGTTCCCCACTAGGTAAATACCGAGCATGATGAGGACAGTTCTCGTCAACTCACCTGTAAAAAGTGACAGTCTTTAAATCTCTTTAACAAGGGTCATACAATATCATGTCTTTACTTCTATTCAAGTTTAACTTCATAAAACTATGTACCAAATATAATTAGTTTTAAACGTGCCAATTCTGAGCAATGAGATGGTGGTTATAGAGACGGTAAAAAACATAGGTCAATAATGGTAGTTGCAGTTTATTTTAGGAAACTTTCAGAAGCCATCAAAATTAGCAGTACAGTATTTACACTATCAAACTCTGCCTTTTAATAACCTATCCTGTCTTCATCCTCGATACTCCAGGGTTACGCTCATTTACATTCTCTACATCCATGGAATATGTCATAGCAAAATTGAAGGTATGTAACTAGGTATTTGTTTGTTCTAAGGGTAAAAATACCTGACCAATTGTTAGGCTAGCTAAATGCTTGGAGATTACAGGAAGTGACACCGACTTCAAAGTCAGTCAATTTTACTGTTACACTACTGCAAGATTCTTTTGGTGTACATGAAATCAAACTTGCCTTCTTGTCTCATCCTAAGGTGGTGAACATATATATATATATATATATTTTTTTAAATATTTCCAATGCTGTAATAAGCAGTGCAAATTAAATTCCACAATCTTTTCATACTCTTGACTTTATGGGGTACATACTGATACTGTGCTGAGCAGCGTCCACCACTTTCCCGAAGAACAGTGGCGCCACCATCTGGGAACCACTGGAGAACAGCAGGCCAATGGAGGCAAACCCGAGCAAGCCCATCTCCTAGAAACAAACATTAGACTCCACTTTGAGAAAAACATCCTTCTAAATTACGTTTAATATAGTAAACATTGTAAATACATTACTGTATACCGAGACATTTTTTGCTGAAGTTTATTTTTTTCACCTTTTTCGCTTCTCATCATTACAGCAAAACTTTTGTAAACAACATGACATGCCTATTAATACAATGTAAAGGGCGAAATTTAACACTGGATTATTCTGGCAAAATTAGGCCAAAATTTCCCAGCATACAATATGTATTATATTTGTTGATTTCGTGTAAATTTGTATTTACATGTGCTCTGCATCGATCCTTCCATTGCAATGCATTGAGCAGGCAAATGTTGTTATGGTCCTATAACACACATTTCTATTGCTTACAAACTTACATAAAGCCCTGCTGGGCTTCATCAAGATTGTGATCAATAGCAATTCATGTGTGTTATAGCTATAGGACCATTAACTTTCTTAAATATATTCATATCTGTGGTTTCAATTACCTTGTCCAATTCTTAACGGACAATTTGGTGGTAACTGGTAAAAACACTTGTTGGAAAGATAAATAATTTCTCTTTACATGGATGTATAAAAAAGTAAGATTTCTTACCCCTATCATAGAAGAAAAAAAGAATTTCAGGAAAAATTGGTGCAGATTGCTTTTCTAAAATGTTGTACAATCATGGTCATGAGGTCAAGTGACATTTTTGACTTTTTTTTCATGTCAGGTTTAAATTATGACTCATAAGTAAATAACCTAAACCTGTCAAGAAGGCTATGTCATGAAATAAAAACAAAATATGATTGTATTAGACATTATGATTGACACATATACATATCATATATTTATAAACATCTTAACCAGGGCAAGTAATGAAAAGAAATGTTCAACAAGGAGCTCCTTAGTTCACCGTAATGTCTAACTTACTGGTTTGGCAAGAGCTGCCATCCTGGCAAAGGTCACCTTGCTTCTTAGCGGTTCACCATCCTTCCCGATCTCCTCGCCATCATCATTAAAGCGATGGAGAATCCTCACACTTTTCAATCTCCTCATCATGAAGAAGCTTGAAAGTGCAAATACTACTTCCAGCAGACTGAAGACAAACGCACAGATGACTAGAGCATTGTATGTAGCATGCATCACAGTGTAATCTCCTGAGTTCTTTAGCTCGTATAAAACTAACGCCCCTTTGGTGGTGGAATAGGCTAACATTCCAAGGGCAATCAGGATCAGACAGACGTGGAGGTGAGTCTTCTTAGACTTCAGCTCTCTGTAAGTCGTCTGGTCGATCTCTATCAAACGGTACGAAGAGTTTTCTAAAGATGGAAGGACGATTCCACATAGGATCACCAGCTTGATGGCTGACAGAAGGGCAAGGTCAAATACAGACGTTGTCATGGTGAAATGTGTTACATTGTCTATAAGGTACTGCGAGTGTCCACCTGCAATAACACAAGGAATGGAGTTGTCTCCCTTTAATCTGTATAATAAAGAATTTACATAAAATCTTGCCATTTACATGTCCATAGGTAATGAAAAAATAATTGCATTTTTGTTCCACGTTAAACATCAACATTTTAAAAAAATACAAGATAACCAGATATCCTGCTTTATGAGGCATAGAAGCTTAAAACAAAAATCCTTATTATGATCGCTATAATTATTTGTGGACCTAGACTAAGAAATTATTTTTGAAGATAGTTTCTTCCACAATGTGAGATCTGTACATGTACAATACGTTAGCTAGGTGTCCCTTGTACAGAACCATTCTGCCGATAAATTGACAATACCATTTCCTCCCACTGTACTGTAAGAAAAGTCCTAGCCCCGGCAAAATGGAGGGTATACCTATTTCTGCCTCAAACGTACATCAAATAAACCCCTTGACTGAGGTACTGAGGAAGCTTACCTCATATTTGTTCCATATGGACATTGATTTTTTCAACACTCCTCAATTTTACCCCAATAATATTTCAAAATACCTCAAATGTGCATTCTTCGTACAAAGACTTTTTTATTCAATTTTGAAAAACACCTCATAATGTTCCTTGAATACTTTAATTTAAAATGTTGATTTTTTTAGGTTTTTTTTTCTTCACAAGTGTACTGAGATACTGTTTCAAATCTGTGTTTCTCAGTTTTATGACATATATTGCATGCATTAAAGGCAATTTGCCTGTAGTCTGACATAGGTATCAATAATACTGAAACAAATAAAGCTTTATTACAACAACAGCTGTTTGTGGGATAACATATCATGTATGATTGCTCTATATTTTATCATAAAAACTTTGACAATAACATATTATACAATTTAATGCCAGCAACATCTGTGATTTTATCTATGTATGATTTATTACAAGTTTTTTATTTGACAATTTGACACAAGTACTTTGGATTTTTTATTTTATGAATTTCATTCGGAGAAAATCACAAGAAAAATCTTCAAAAAAACTCCTACCTGTCAACCACAAGATGATTGAAACGACAGCATCAACAAAGAGGAAGAAACTGAAAATGTTGACATATCGCAATTTTGGAAGTGTATAACTATGTGTGCCTAGCTCCAGCATGGGAACATCAGTGTCCCCTATCTCCATGTCAGACGAGTTCACAGTGCCGTTCAATTTAGCCATGGCCGACTAGGAGTCTTCTAATACATGATCAGGTACGAATGCTTCTGTTAACTTGCCGAGCCAAAATTTCTCAAACCATTAAAGTTCTGAAATCAAAAGAAGATAGGAATTTATAATTAGTTCATATTTGTAGATCTTTGTGAATTTTTACAGAGAATTTGTAACCACCTTCAACTTTCAAAATATGTTGGCACGAGAAAAATGAAAATTCTCAAGGGGCAATTCTTCAATATTTTCAACTTGAAAATGTAATATTTTAATATGAAGTAGGAATGTGTAATATAATCTGGTCAATATGAATAAACATCTGAGAAAAATTACCATAATTACTGATTCTAAATATCTGATCAATCTATGTACAAGCAAACTATTGTTGAGCACAGTGCATTGCCAGAATTTGTACACGGGTGACTAAATAAAACCTGTGTAATTTGAATGACATCCTGTTAATATTATAGGCTAGCTGTCTTGTGTTCCAATAGAAAGGTTTCACCGTACATGTATACATAGTCTGCTAAAAATAACAATGATCACAATAGGTTGCTTAAAATAGTTATACGTTCATACAGTAACTATGTATAATTCCCCATACAAATTCCTACCCACACTGACAGTCTGTGAAGTTTATACTTCTAAGATGTATAAGTAAAATGTAAACATTATCACCCTGTTAATTTTCCACATATATCAAACTGAAACATTGTATATAGGAGTATTTGACACCAGACATATATCTTTCAAAATGCCCAAGTCTGGTGTCAGGTCCAGAGGAATCTTGGGCTGATGAATAACGTATTCTATGATGTTGCTTACTTTTTCAAGTTTTTTGAAAGACATTATCTGATTTACTGAGAAGATCAATATCCCGGGTGGAACTTAATTATGTTGTCAATCTTACTTTATGCCACATATTTACAGTATACGATATTCCACTTGATTTTGAAGTGTTAGGCAATGACATGCTATAGAAACTTGTTATACACACAATTGTAAATGATCCAGCTCCTGTTGAGCGATCAACGTTGTTTTCACCGAGTACAATCACAGAATTATCACTCTAAGTCTGTGGTACAATGTACAGATAAGTCATAAAATGTGTGTGTCATTCTTATGCAGTTTTTAATTTCTTTCATATCCATTCGTCTCATCATATATATATGCAATAAGGTACACGGCTATTTCATAATTTAACTAGAGATTTGTTTTTGTGAACAAAAATGTATGTTTCCCCTTTGACTGTTTAAAAGTTATGGCTCGGACAAGAGATTCCTGAAAACCTTGCCCTTATTTGACCTTTGACCCCAAGGTCACAGTGACCTAAAGGCAGTGCACTGTACATCGTCTCTGGGTGATGCAGATATACTGCAAGTTTTATCAGTGTCACCCTGGTAAAATACCATCCGCTTCCTACCGACTAGGCTAGGGAGAATTTCTCTTTAGCTCATTCAATATAGCATTAGACTAGTAAGCCAGAGGTCCTGGGTTCGAATCCTAGTGGAGGGATTGAAAAAAGAATGACCTCTGTTACAATGGCGTCCACGCGTACGTAGGGACCCGGGTAACTTTGACAAATATTCTCAGCGGTACTTTCACAAGAATCGCTATAGGACCCCTAGAAAAACTCGGGACAAGTTCTTTCCTGGAGAGGAGAGCATATGTCACCCTGGTAAAATACTAACCACTTCCTATTGTCTCGGCTAGGGAGAATTACTCTTCAGCTAATTCGTAAGACTAGTAAACCAGAGGTCCCGGGTACAACTCCTAACAGAAGCATTGAAAAAATAATGACCTCTATTACATCAGGATATCTTACTTAGCACTTATAATTTGACCTTATCATTAGAGGAACTGCTAACTGCAGTTACCGTAGGCCTAACCTTTTTTTTTTTTTTTATCGGACCATAGGTCAGGCCTAGAATTAGCTACAGTTCCCATAGCTAAGGAACTGCCTACTGCTTAATTATAAAATGTGATATGAACAAGCCCTAATTGTTATGGGGAATATTACTGAAGTTCTCAAAACTGACACCATTCATAGTCGCATATGATCCATGCTTGGATAGAGTTTACAATGCCACCATATACTTATATAATTACATACTATAAGTTTCAGCAAAATTAAATACAGTGAGGGACTGTTGGTATCACCTTGGTGTACACCTTTAAATGTTTGACACAATCAAACATTTTTCTACGTTTGACTTTGATGTAAAAGCCAGTGATCTAATGACAGTGCATTGCACATTGAGGCTATTGGCAAGGTGATGCAGGTATACTACAAGTTTCATCAAGATATCTTAAACAGTTTAAAAGTTACACAGAAAAGTCCCGGACAATNACATCCGGTAGTGAAGCGGATGTAAAACCTATCAATCAATCAATCAGTCAATCGTCCCGGACAATGACCTTATGACAGTGCACTGCACATTGTCTAATGGTGATGCAAGTATACTGCAAGTTTCATCACAATATCTTTAATGGTTTAAAAGTTATGGCCCAGACAAGATCACATTAGAAGAACCAGAACAAGAACAAGAACCAGTACTAATACATACATAAATTATTGTTATAATAAACAATTATTCACAATAAAATATAGTGTAAAAGCTTGATACATTGTAAATAGTTTTAATCCCTACGCAGCCGCAGTCCGTTGATGGCAGGCTATTCTGCTAGCAATGTACCAAGTCAGAAGAGGATATTTAGACCCCTTCACAAGATCAAGCTTCCGATCGACGTTCACAACGACAACTAATACAATATGTCTCCCTTCATTCAAAGGGGAGACATATAACCACATATATCAAAACCCTGTCATTCATCGAAAAATGACAGCTATTTTTCTTGTTGGCAGTGGCAGTAAGTATGCCTACTAGTGGTAGCAGTCATTAAGCAATGACTGTTGTTTTCATATCAGGGTGAATCTCCCACTGAAACAGGGGCATGGCAAGTGTGATAAAGATATGTGGCTTAAAGGTAAGGTAGGTTCAAAATATAGAACATGCTGTATTTTGATCCATGTTGGACTTTCTTCCCAATGCTGGATATATATCGAGACACAAAACATAAATTAAGGGATACAAAAACTATACAAGTTGTGACTGCATTATATGGAACGAGTGTCCTAACATTTTTGATGGAAATTTGATTCTTAAAATTTAAGAAAAAGCATTGGTTCGTCAATATAAACAAAAGTCGGTCTCGCATCATGCTACCGCCTTTGCTACAGTACCGTAATAAATTGTTGCGATTCTTAAAAGCACCCGTTTCCGAAGAACCTATCTTACCTGTACTTGAGTTTTATTAAGAACCGGCGAACATCAAGATGCAGGTTCCATGTCAGGATGTCTCAATGGCATTATACTTTTAGGCTCAGCTCTGGTCTGTGATCGCTAAATAAAAACATGGATGCTTTCGCTTATCCGGTTGAAGCGATCCAATTAATCCATGTAACATATTGCATTTGGATTGGTAGGTGTCCGGCCAGAGTTCGCAGTATTCGAAATATACAGTTTTTTAACTCATTTCAGTCGAATTATTGGTAATTGACATTAAAACTAGTCTATACTTCTTTTTACGGTTATACAAACTATTTACCCAGTTACAGTGTTAAATTCACTAAAAATATATTGTAGAGTATTTTTTTTTTCATGGAAATACCACAAACGCACAATAGTTAGTCGTAAATTACGATCACCAAATGCCGGTTTTTGTGAAGTCGGCATCAGTTCTTGTCTGGGTCATTCGGCCCTTTTTATGTTTAAGCAGATGAGACGTCTTCACCGAATAAATGAAAGTGTCCATGAACTCTGTTCAATAAGGGGCACTAACTCTGCTGCAGTCCTTACAAAGGTGTCGCCGCTTGCTGCGTATACGTCCTTAAATAATTGGGTCATTAAATATTTAAGATGAATTGCATGCAATCGGTCTGACCGATTTTGTAACGATTGAAATAATTTGCTGACTGACGTGACAATGTGAAATAGTTGCATTAGATTTGTACTTTACCCACTAATAACAGAGGAAGTCTATATACATGTATATATATATATATGAAATCCATAAGTCTTTCATGTAACACCATTTCCCCATCGGATTCTTTGTTAATTTACTTCAGGAAAATTAATCTATGCTGAGATGAAAAATAATATCTCGATAACAGATCCACAGATAATGACATAACCATGCAGATGAAATACTGGATATTTCTCTAACAGATTGTTAAGGATGAAAACATTTGATGTCAAATGAAGTAACGAAATATTTTGAAAAAGACAAATTCACATGGAATCCAAAGGGAAATTGACGTAACATAAAAGACGTTTGTCACAGAACGGTAAGAGCACATTATACGTTAAACCACGGACTTAGATAACAATCTAATTCCGTGGTTAAACTAAGACTTATTTCTTCTTTCTTAAAAAAAGAAAGAAAAAAGAAAATGATATTTCTCTCAGAAAGTTATTTGCTCAGTGATTCGAAATTTACTTTCTCGTAAGCGATACTGACTCCGGATATTAAACAACCAGTTACCGCCCGCCATTTGCATGAACACGTTTTTAAGAGTATTTGAGTACTGTATGTGTGTCTTAGTACTTACTGTATGTCTTAGTACTGTATGTCTTAGTACTGTATGTCTTAGTACTGTATGTGTGTCTTAGTACTGTATGTCTTAGTATTGTATGTGTGTCTTAGTACTGTATGTCTTAGTACTGTATGTCTGTCTACGTACTGTATGTCTTAGTACTGTATGTCTTAGTACTGTATGTATGTCTTAGTACTGTATGTTTTAGTAGGCTGTATGTATGTCTTAGTACTGTGTGTCTTAGTACTGTGTCTTAGTACTTTGTGTCTTAGTACTGTATATCTTAGTATTGTATGTCTTAGTACTGTGTGTATTAGTAATGTGTGTCTTAGTACTGTGTGTCTTAGTATTGTATGTGTGTCTTAGTACTGTGTGTCTTAGTATTGTATGTGTGTCTTTGTACTGCATGTCTTAGTATTGTATGTGTGTCTTTGTACTGCATGTCTTAGTACTGTATGTCTTAGTACTGTATGTCTTAGTACTGTATGTGTGTCTTAGTACTGTATGTCTTAGTATTGTATGTGTGTCTTAGTACTGTATGTCTTAGTACTGTATGTCTTAGTATTGTATCTGTGTCTTAGTACTGTATGTCTTATTACTGTTTGTCTTAGTACTGTATGTCTTGGTATTGTATGTGTGTCTTAGTACTGTATGTCTTAGCATTTTATGTCTTGGTATTGTATGTGTGTCTTAGTACTGTATGTCTTAGCATTTTATGTCTTGGTATTGTATGTGTGTCTTAGTACTGTATGTCTTAGCATTTTATGTCTTGGTATTGTATGTGTGTCTTAGTACTGTATGTCTTAGTACTGTTTGTCTTAGTACTGTATGTCTTTGTACTGTTTGTCTTAGTACTGTATATTTAAGTAGGCTGTATGTATGTCTTAGTACTGTGTGTCGTAGTACTGTTTGTCTTAGTACTGTATGTGTTTGTACTGTATGTCTTAGTACTGTATGTCTTGGTACTGTGTGTCTTAGTAGGCTGTATGTATGTCTTATTACTGTATGTCTTAGTACTGTATGTCTTAGTACTGTATGTGTGTCACAGTACTTGATGTCTTAGTAGGCTGTATGTGTGTCTTAGTACTGTATGTCTTAGTAGGCTGTATGCATGTCATACTGTGTTTCTTAGTACTGTGTGTCTTAGTACTGTATGTCTTAGTACTGTATGTCTTAGTACTGTATGTATTAGTACTGTATGATTAGTACTGTATGTGTGTCTTAGCATACAGTTAAAGTATGGGGTTGAGGGATATAGCAAGTTTCTGGTGTCCCGAGACCAGGTCTATTACCCGAGGCGAAGCCGAGTGAAATGGACATGGTCAAGGGACACCAGAAACTTGCTATATCCCTCAACCCAATACTTAAACCGTTTTATTATACCGATACACACTGAAGAGATAGTTTTAACTAGGCAATATTTGTAAACCCCAAGCTGTATAGCTTCACGTCCCAACTACCCTTTTGATGGCAATGGAGCCGAATGCTTCCGAGTCCGGTAGCAAGCCTCGCCCACCTCGCGCTGCGCTTCCGAGTTCGGTAACAAGCTCCGCCCACCTCACGCCGGATTGGCTCGGCGGAAACACTCGAGTGTAGGTGTGTTTTAGTTCCCAGACTAACACACAGGACTAAAACACAGTCACGCAAAAGTGGGGATATATTCGATTTGACTAATTACTTTTATATAGAGTTAATAAAGTAGAGGTATAATAATACTGTATGTCTTAGTACTGTATGTCTTAGTGCCCTATATCTAATGGTTTATATACAAAGAATGAATTTGAACGAATATGAATAAGTCAGATGGTGAATTATTCAATAATTCTTTATAACGGTGTACAATGTATAATGCCGCTGCAGTTTCTCAGGTTCTGAGGATTTGAGTAGACCTATATAACAGATATTTTGGGAGATATTACTGTATTTTGTCAAATATGACATCAGCCACTAGAAACCGCCGTATGTCGCCGGCCTGGAGAAGGTGGTAACTTTTTAATACTGACGTCATTTATTGTTATGATGTCAATTTTCGATTGAAAAATTAATTTCATTTTTTTTTGTAGAAAGTATTTGTCTCGATTTAGAGGTCATTATTTTTTCAATGCCTCCGCTGGGAGTTGAACCCGGGACCTCTGGTTTACTAGTCTCACGCTCTACCGAACGAGCTAAAGAGAAATTCTCCCTAGCCGAGTCGGTAGGAAGCGGTTAGCATTTTACCAGGATGACGCACCATCCCACCTCCCCCCAGAAAGAACTCATCCCAAGGTTCTTAGCGATTCTCGTGAACGTATCGCTAGCTAGGTATTTTGTCTGTATTTCACGAGTCCCTACGTGCGTGCCGATGTATCATATGTAACAAAAGGGTGGGATGGGGGTCTGGGAGTCCAGCTTCAGTAGCTTTTGGACACAATGTGCATAGAAGCCCCCCTTTATCCCCAAGAGGTGTATTTTGGTGATCTGTTAACTCAACACAAGAAGATTACTATAGACACAACAAACTTCAGCGTCCCCTTTACTTGTATACCTGTTTATTTGTTCGACCGTTTTTGTTTGTTTGGGGTTTAACGTCCTCGTAGCAGCCAGGGTCACATGAAGACGGGTTGTATACATGCATAATGTATCTTTCATAATGTTGCTCTATTATACATACGCTTAAGAGAGGATTTCTTACATATTCTTCCCTCACCTCCTTTTTTTCATTCTTGCATGTATTGCATTTGATGGAAAAAAATCGTTGTGACTCTATACAGTTTCCAGTAGAATATATTGTATATCTAAAGTAATATATCCTACTTAATAAACCACAACGTTTAGTTCGACTATTACGTAGTTTTGGTTTAACAAGTCTGATGACGTTGCACACAGCTTTGGGAATTCATATGTTCCGTTGTCTTTGACGTCATAGACAGCAAACACGACATCTGTCATAATGCACCAACATGACAGATGAATACACTAGCAACATTGCAGATTTAGGACTAGCTGAAAAGTCGAGCTTTGGAAACTTCCGGTCTATCACAGAAAATGATGTACGCTTCTCCAGCGACTAGACCATATCAAAGCGATTGCGCAGGTCGCCCTCTTATATGACATACCTATTCCAACAGTCATGGGGAACAAAAGAAGTACCGTCGGATTGGAAACTAGTCACTACAACAGCTATCTACATGAACGACGACCGTAACCAAGCTATATCTTCTGTAAGACAGTGGAGCACATCAACCACATCATTTGTATGCACCGTTCTTCGAAGGAGAACCCTCGATATGATAAATTAAGATTCTTTTTGACGCTCTCTTAAAATCCTTACCGGCATGTGTGTTTTACCTGTTTTTACCTCTTCTCAGAACAGGCAATAGGAAAACTATTATTAAGGCCTGTCTACAATAGAAAACTGATTGGACAATCAGTCTTAAATTGTCTCCTCAATCCCGAAGTTAATTTCAGAATCAGTCAGTTCCCACGAGTACATGGATAATAGACGCTGCACGGTGCCTATGTGATGTTCCTTACCGTATGTGACATACAAGACAAGACGTTCATCACCAGTGTTGAGATACTCAGACATCTGTTTAGAGATATGAGCAGTGACTAGCTCTTTGTCATAAATTTCGCCGTAAAAGTCAAGATATATAACAGTCCCTGCTTCACACGGCATGCTGGTCGTGGCTGAAATCAACAATGGAGCGTTGAAACACTTTTGATCTTCATCTTTCGTGACACTGGCAAACAGTTTAGCGTTCGAGTTAAATATGCGATCAATGTTAGACACCACCAACTGATACGGAACGCATTTGACCACGATTCTTTTCTCTGGAAATAGATTATGTTTTGCATGACGAGAGAGGAAGATTTTTTCCAGGAGTTTTGCATCTACTATATCCAGAGGTGTGAGTTGGACATCAGATGCCAGAGCTGTACGTTTGAGGGTATGGTTTGTAGTTTTGAAGATGGCCACGTTCTAAAAAGAAACAATACTTTCAGACTACATTTTAACAAACAGACAGATTGCGATATATTTTGTTTGCATACCACTGTTTTCATTTCATGTTTACCGGCTTTATGCGATGATCGAGATGGATTTGAGACTGTCACATTCCCCATAATTGCCAAGGATTATTGAAAATTATACTTCTTTCTTCCTATAACTATTATCCAGAAAGAATAACCCCAGTGACGCGGATACGTGATAATATTCATCAATAACGAGTCAGTTGATTATTAAGTCATAGAATAACAGTAAAGGTGCCTTACACTTAAAAACTATCTGTTTCAATACCAACTGTATATATCTGTAACCTTTATATAATTGCAGTCGAATGCTTGAACGAATACAATGTTAACATTTCAATTGTGTATAAAAGCAGGTGATTTACTCGCTGAAATACGACAAGGGCCCCTTTCTTCTGTAAGCGACCCAGGACAGACGAATTCGTCGTACAATACACACTCCTCTCCGCGCTTCTGGCAAGAATGTTGAAGCAGTATTTTTTCTTCTGCGAGAGGATTCCCCTGCCCACGTATTCCTCCCGTACTCTCGCAGATTGCATCAACACACTTTGCCCATCATCAATGACCGCAGCGAACATGAAGCTTATCTTTAAAAGAAAGAAATTTGTTATATATCTTACAATTACCCGTATTTATGATATTCGACTATTTATGTACATTTCACACTGTCTTGTTTTTATTGGATTTCATAACATTCACAAGAACTTGTTCCTTGTTTTCCATGGAAATGTTTCTTTATAGGAATATTTGACATTATTTTACACTCAACTGTGTTCAACTTCGTTCTGTTATTGAGTAGGCTTTCTTTTTCACGAAAATGCAAACAGTGTAAAAATATAAGGCTGTGGATTGATTTGGAGCATATTTTGTAAAACGCACGACAAGGACCAATGGGAATATACTGTGGATGAAATTGTAATTATGATTTAGTCCCTGTGAACAATAGCATTGTTGAATTCGGTTGCAGGATTACCAGCCGACAATTGGCATAGCTTTAGGGACAAACTGTGTCCCTCCATTAGACGATTTGTTTTCATATGAGGCTGAATTTTCGAAAAGCATACTAGGTCTTACAATTTAATTTCCGATTTATGTTATCTGTAAATTACAAGAAAGTATTGATCATGACAGTGTATCCTTACCGAACTTGAAATCTGAAAATCTACAGACTCTTTTATATCAAACCTGAATGTCCCTTTGCATATACCATTTTTCCTTGTATACATTTCTACATTAAAATGAGTGCATATCTCAACACGTCCAAACACCGTATTTCCATAAACGATTCTGTTACCACGTATCAACAATATATAAATATATAATCAGTACCAGGTGAATGAAGAGGTGATTCTAACACTCACCTTGAATTAACTTTCAAGCACGCACTGCTTTCCATGTTATGATAACCATACTCCGTGAGTTATGTTGTGACAGGGCTTTATCTAATCACTGAATATTAAAATATGTTAAAGTGTTCTATTTTCCCAAGCAAACACAAACAGACTTACCATTGTATTACCTATGTATCCAGCTATTCCTGTATTGTGTTTCAGTAGATCGTGGTATTCACTTGGTATGTAATCCAGCCCGCCATACAGATGTTTCCGTATAGATACCACCTCATCATAGTCGTCAGCTGTCGTCTGTCGGAAGTGTAACCCAACTACCCAAGACTTTTGTAATTCATACAACCACTGGAAATATTTCGTATTTAGCACACGTAATGCCATGGCAACTATGTGTTCAGGTCTGGCTATAGAACTGTTCGGTTTGTAAAAGACTGGCCGGATGAAACCAGTGGTGCAGGCTATACTAACAGATTGGACATGATTTTTTTGGTGGCGGCTGGGACGAATAGCCGGTCGCCATCACGTGACTACACCGGCCCAATTGAAAAGGAGATGGTAACTTAGTCAGAGGTTTCCGTCACATGTTGTGTTGTGTCACGTTTTGTTCGTGATTCAATGTGATACTACATGCTACACTTATGTAAATTTTATCTTATAATATTGCAATCGATGTCAATGAGTGTCATATTATAAACCCAATCATTACTATAATGTAATGGAAAGCACGTTGTAAACTCCTTATCTCCGTTTACAGGCCACGTTGTATTACATAGCGATGAGACTAATCAGTCAATAAATGGACATGTGTTTGTAGCAACACCACTTACTACCAAATTACATGGGATTCTGTGGATCTACCAAACGTTTTAGAAATTGTCGTTTTTTCTTGTTCTGTAGCATTTGCAAGCTATCTCAGTCAATCATAAACTATACAGGACTATCCCTTTGTCTTGACATGCCTGTCTGCCTTCCAGCCAGCCTGTTATAACAAGCTATGATACATGTACTGTATACGATAACATAAAATGGTAAAAAATGGTTATACAAAATCTGTAACGCCTAGATCTAATAAGACATTGAAATGGTATGTATGCTTGGCTTTTAATGGCATCAATACTGAAAAATGATCTCAAAATCAAAAAACAACAACATTGCCACAAGGCACAACTACGCATACAACACTGTGTATTTTACAGTGCATTATGCACAATCTAGACATTTTTGTTAATATATTTGAAAAATGAAAGCAGCAACAACACAACCAAGATGATGCATCATGCAAAGGAACGTTCAGTTAAACCCGGATGACTGAGATATTGATAGCTTGTGACAGTTCAAACTTGATTTTTATGAAACAGTATAACAACACTCATCTTGTTTCAGTCGATATACGATTCATTATTCAGTTAGTCAATACCTATGCAAACCAAATAGTTATATTAACCAAAGGTTATCATTTTTTCATAATAACTTATTTATAGATGACTTTTCTGTAACCTGTATACAGTAGACTGAAGCTATTGCACATAACGATTGTATCTGGGTCAACAGATACATGTATTCATCGTATGATGTCCCCTGTTAGCAGAGTAATAACACTATACCATACATTTTCTATATATATAAAATGGATTAATTCAACCAATGTGACGACACGTGGAACAATATAATGACATCACAATGCAAATGCATGTTGACAATAAAATATTAGTAACGTTTTTAGATCACCCGGCACGAAGGACAAAATGTGCTTATGCCCTTGCGCGTAATCCGTTGTCCGTCCGTTCGTCGTTATTTTTCTTTTCTTTAAACAACCTCTTCTCAATAACCAATAGGCATAGGGTGGCAATATTTGGTCAATCGCATGCTTGCATGAAGAGCTAAACAGCTTATTTAAATGAATGACCTTGACTGATTTCTAAGATCACAGGGGTCAAACGTGTAAGAATCTTAAAACAACCTCTTCTCATAAATGTCAAGAGTAATGATAGCTGGGCTTTAAAACCTTTGGATAAAGGGCTACCGATTTAGATCAAATGAATGACCTCCTTGACCCACTTTTACGGTCACAAGGGTCAAATGTTTAAAAAAATAAAAAAAAATCCAATATCTTCTAATTAACAAAATAAAGTACAGAATGATGGAACATTGTCAGCAATATGCTAAACTGAATGGATTCTGTTTGTTCAAATGAATGACCTTAACGAACTTTCAAAGTCACATGAGTCAAATTTGTTAAATCATAAAATAACTATTTTTTTAACCATCCCTTGATGATCATATCAAGCCAGTAGCTTGCTGAGATGAATGGCTGGCAAATATGTTCAGATGAATGACCTTGACCCACTTCCAAGCTCAACATTGTCGAATGCGTGAATCTCTAAATCAATTTCTTCTTTATAACAAAAAAGGTCCAGGGTGGTGATATTTGCCCTTTATCCTAATTTAGTCCATTTCGATATACTCGAACGCGGTCCACCTTTAAAGTTAATGGTGCGAGATTGATAACAGGGGAGAGATACAGGACCATTGAACATCATGCTCGTCTTAAAATATGTAAATGTTTATTGACGGACTACTTGAGGAAAACGAACACAACTATTTACAATTATTCAATAATTTTCAGTATTTGGAACAGGGTTATAAATGTCAGTGAGAAGTACAATTGTGAAATACATGCATTGACAGGGAATGCTGCACTCTGTATTGTACAGAAATTTGAATTGCGGTATAACCTGTATGTATTTCTTTAGGAACAGGACTTTAAATAACTTATGCTGACCCTATTTCATTGCGGAGGTCTATATATCGATAATGCACAGCTACAACCAATTACATACCCACTACTGCTGGAATATTGCCAGCATATTTCTTTAAATGTCTGAGTCTAAATACGACTACGACTGTTCAGCAATTCTATGTGGTGTAGTTCAGTTTAAAACGACAGACATTGACAGTCATAATCGTGTCCATCGATCATTGGTTAAACAACAACTCGATGTGTATCCCTTACCAGGAAGTGATATTAGCGTGTTTTGTAAGTCAGGCGACTGGTGAAACGAGAGGAAATGGACGGTAAGTCTTACTTGTTTTATGCTTAACATTTACCAGCATAGAAACACCTATATGTATGTTAATAATTGTCTAATCATATTACATGGTAAGTTTGGGGGGTTGGTGAAAAAGCTGTTCTAGTTTACTAGTAAACGAGTTCTGACTGGTATACCTTCGCATTTCAACTGTAAGTCGTTTTACAAAAGAACTGATGAAAAATTAAGAACTTGTTAAAATAGTCATAAATTGATTGCTTGAAAAGATCAACAGAAGAAATGCCGTACAAAAATGCGACCACATATCGTTTTACAAACAACAGATACGAAGAACAAATTACTCAATATTAATTTGGTTAAGTATTGTTTAACGTCCTATCAACAGCTATGGTCATTTATGGACGGCCCTCCTGTGTGCAATATGCATGAGTTTAGTGTATGCGTGTGTGTTTTGGGAGGTTGTGATATGTTTCTGTTCGTCTCCTTGTGATAGCGCGGAACTGATACCGACTTTATAGTGCTACCTCACTGAAACATACTGCCGAAGATACCCAACAGGACATCCCACCCGGTCACATTATACTGACAACGGGCGAACCAGTCGTCCAGCTTCAAAATGGCTGACCGTTAAGCAGGAGTAGAAACTACCATTTTTACAGACTCCGGTATGTCTGGGCCAGGGGACAGAACCCAAAGCCTTCCTCACAGGGGCAAACGCTCAACTAAAGGCTAAAAGTGAGGCATTGTCAAGGAAGACATTAGGAAGGAGAAAGTTGTTAAAAAAGAAGAGAAAAGATAAGATCCCAAATTTAGTCGCCTCTTACGATCATACAATGGCTCGGGGCAGAAGGTACAAATATCACACCCTACCTGCAGGGACCACTCACTATTACTATATATTACTCATAAGACTACTTTGTTAGAACATTATATAATGTTCAGCACTTCTTCTATTTCCTCTGAGCCTACTTATGGATTTTGTTCCATGATTTGACACTGATCATTAGATGAGCATTTCACGAACTGCTGATCATTAGATTAATATTTTTGAAACTCATTAGATGAAATTAGACATTTAATTTATATGTGTTTGTTAGGATTTCTAACGCACCGATACTTAATGATAACAAATATCTTATTATTCAAACGAAACTTAACCACAACAATGCTTACAAATTGGACTTTCTTGCAGTTTTGTCTAGAAATATTGTTGAATTTACTTTGAATGGTGGCACAACAAAATTATTGCATTATATAGAGGATCTTTCAACTCTAAATAAGGTTGACATATAAAACATGGATCACATGTTGATAGTGATAACATGCGACATATGAAATTTGATTTGTATAAAACACTATAGAACATTCATCTTGCTTCAACCCTTGTTTTATTTATTTACAAATTATTATTCAATAATATAAGACTATTTCGTTCCCTGGGGTGTAGGATGGGAAATCCCGAGAAAGGAATTTCCCTGTCCTACACCCTTGGTATGAAGGAGTATTTTTCTCTGATTGCAACTACCAGAATAGGCTTGGAAACCATGAAAACGCGTGTGGACAGGCTACCATTTAAAAAGCATATATTTAGCCCTAAGGGTTTTTGACGAAAACGAATATGTCGGCCAGATTTTGCATAACCCATACTTGCGGAGGAAAAAATATCGCATGTTACTAACGTGTACGGTAATCACATCGAAACATTTTTTAATTCATCATGTCGCCTTTTCCGCGTTTCAGCATTAGAGTTTTCAAATTTCGTGACGTCACATCATTATTTAGTCATTGTGACGTCATGTCACGCGAAATGGGGTGTAAACTAGTCATTTCTTACGGAAATGAGATATATGACTATATATTTGAAGAACCGTGTGTATCGACCACAGTTTTTTCCTATTCTCCAAAAAAACTATTGTTAGATGAATTCTGTAATCTTCAAATTAAATATCAGGGACGATTTTGACTACGTTGACGATTGTGTCAAGAATCTTCATTCCTTGTTGTGTGTTTCGTATTAGCATTAACGAATACGTGATATTTGATTTTAAAGTGTATTTTATAGACGATGATATTTGATTAAGCAGATAATTACATAACGGTAAAACTCATTGTAAGTGAACAACGACAATTTCACGTTATTTTGTCGATTGTATGAGCATGGTGAATATAAGCCGTGTGCATTTTACATCTAAATGTTCGATAAAGTGCATGGATTTAACTTGCAGCCCATTATCATTACGCTATTTATACCGTATACAAATATGTGAATAAGAATAAAAGTTTGGTTATAGGTTATTCAGGTGCTTTACATATTGGTCGAGGTAAATCCTGAACGCCCATGATTTAATTTAGATTCTCGTGTTCGTCCTTGCAACAGGAATGACGTTATTTTGTTATGTAAATGATATGAACAGGAAAGAATACACACTGTATTTCCAAATAGTTGTTGTACAAAGCACTCTTGAAATTTAAAGGCACAAAGTAGTTACCTTTAAAATATTTTATAAACTGAGCAATTATCTCCAAACGATATCCTTTACCAACATACCACATATATTAAACTAGTAAAGTAACAGTGTGTCGCTCAAACTACAGCTTACTGCCTTCATTTGTGAAGTATTTGAGTATTTAACTGACAACAATAAAGAACAATAAGATTTCTGTAAATGTCTCCCAGTCTAAACACGATTACCACTCTGTAGATCAAACAACTACTATCATAGTTTTTTTCCTTCAATGCTCCGAGAGTTTAATAAACTCTCACCTACTACAGTACAAGCAACCTCCCTTTACATTTTTAAGAAACTTATAAACATGTCAAATATCAGTGAAGAGGAAGATGTGAGCGTTTCAAATGTATTCAAAAATAAAGGATCAAGGAAGGGTAATATCATACTTTGTCAGCTTAGAAATGGATGTAGCAACTTAAATTTTGACCTATATATTGATCATTTAAAAGATAATCCTATGTGTTCTTGTGATTTAAACCATGAAACTGTCTCACATTTTTTTTCTTCACTGTCCTCTGTTTTCAGTCCAAAGAGCATTACTAAAAAATGAACTTGAACTTATTGGAAACCATAACCATTGTCATCTCACCAACTTACTATATGGCTGTCAAATATGTAACGAAGGTGTAAATATGGAAATTCTTAGCTTTATCCTAAAATATATAGTTAAAACTAAAAGATTTGTTGAATATCGAGTATAATACCAGGCAATTTGACACATTTTGAGTTAATATATATACACATGTATATATATTTGTAGATAATAACACTTATTTATAAAAACAACATCCATTCGTACAGGAGTGCATCTCTGGCTGGTTATCATGATATTGTTATGCTTTCCTTTTATATTCTCCCATACTACTTATATCTTTAATTTTTAATGTACATACTTAAGCTTTGTATTTATGAGCTTCATTATCCTTGCGTGTACTTTGTACATGTATACAAGATTATATATGCATTATGCCCTTTGCTAACAAAATCATTATCATTTGTATTTTGGAATTTTATGTAAAAAGGAATATTACAAGCAGTTATATATCTGGTAAATACGGTAATGTTGATTCGTGTATTTCATTAACAGTACTGCATGTGTATTCAATATTTTTTAACAATAATAATGTTTACCAATATCACAATCATGATTATGGTCAGTGTACATTTTGTGGATTTTGTTCACTTTGTCAAGTATATGTATTCAATATCATTGCGATGTGTATTCTTGATTTTTGTATTTATTTTTAGCATTATCAGAATTATGAGTATTGCATATTTTCTGCGCAATTTTAGTTGAAGGTGTATCTTATATTTAGAAACTAATGTCATATCTGTAACGAATATTATGTAAAAATGACCAGGATCATTCCGTTTTTGTATACACAATTCCTACATACCTACATAACTCATATTGTATGATTTGTTTACAAGATTGTGATAAAGTGTGTTTTAGAATTTTGAAGATAGTATTTGATTGAATCATACGAAATAAATGTTATAACTGACATACTTGCACATATTACTTATAGATAAACAATCTGTTATATTTAGTAAGCATCGACTCTATTCCCAACTAATACATATTCACCGACCGTATTATTGTAAGGCTGTATTGTGTGTACTTTAGACTATACTACCGTATTGACGGCTCTTTTCAATTGGTGCATTGTGTCGAATAGTGCTGAACAAAACACACTGGAAATATAAAGGCCGTTTAAAGGCACAAACTGGTTACCTATAGAATGTTTTATAAACTGATCAATTATCTCCAAACGATATAATTTCCGTGACCACCCGACAATGAATGGAAAATTCAAATCTTCTGACTTTATCTTAAATGACATGTTTTTACTGTGTATACATATTACCCAACGTTTGTTTAGCTAGCCATGAATATATAGCTTGTCTTATTAAGTGTTTGCATTGTCATGCGTCATTCACCAGGTTTATCATCTTTCTAAGGTAGGATTGATATTTACTTGATCTTATTCAGTTGTTTACAAAAACATGAGAAATAAGAGTAATCAAATTGCTGCAGAGGGCGAGAGCAAAACGAGTTCAAGTCATCTCCTCATCTGGTAAAAGATCGTTGAAATATGAATTTTCCTTTCAAGCTTGAACAAAACATTATAACCACTTATAATTAACTTTTTTTCATAAAAATACAAAATATTTAAACAAAGCGGTTCAGGGTCTAAGCTAAAAAACGAACAAATAAAATGTGACTAAATGCAGTATATTTGATCACAAATAAATGAACAACAAGGAAATGAAAGCATCACAATATCAAAAACAACACGTTCAGGTGGGCCGTGGAATATAATTATAATTATAACAAAAGCAGCCGAATTTGACTTTTTCTTTTATTAAATGTCATAATGATTAAACTTTAAAATGGCAGTTATGAAACAGTATCCCTAAACAGTCAGGTTCTTGTATCAACGTTAGTCAAACATTTCATTGTAGGTCAGAAAGTAGCACTCTGGGTATTTAAAAGGCTAATTAAAGCTGAAGTCGAGTTATTTATAGATGCTCATTTCTATACTGTGCGTTTTCTACAAACAGGATTATTAAACGACCACCGATCAAAGAATCCTTCTGACGATACTCGCCTACAAACATACAAACGACATCACCGTTTTTTATATGGGTATTATGTACTTTTCCTTTTGAATTAACTTGTGACCGAAGACGCACAGATGAACTGGCATTTTATTAATTTAAAGCGTGACAATTTCGTCAGGTAATATGATTGATTTTCATGATATGTGATCTATCTATTATATTAGGTATGGAACTGTGAAACAGATATTATTGAGCAGAGACAACGATCATTTTAATTGCGGAACACAGAAGATTTAAGGATAAGCATTCGTTTCGAAACTTCTAAACCAACATGTAATCACACATTCGTCCATTCGGAGACGTATGGACGAGGAAATGATGGAAACACCCATTCGGAGTGATCTTGTTCTGGTAAGTTATGGAGACAAAGTTTATTCACAGTAGTACCTCGTTTATCTGGGGGAAATAATTGTGTGTTTTGTTTTAAAATAATTGTTCCACAATATGTTATATTCTGCATTTTAGGATTGGACAAGATAATAAATTGGTCTTTCAAAGAAAAAGGAGTGCACTTAGGTGTTAAGTCTAGACATCGATAGAAGAATTTATCAAAAATAAAAAAGGAATGTTTTTATTGTACAACATGCATGTCATTTTTATTTATATTTTTTTTTTGTGAATGGCGGAATGCTTTTTATGCGCCCGTCAAACATCTTGACGGGACGTATTATGGTATGGGGAGCGGTTGCTATCGGTCATTCCGCCCGTCCGTCCGTCCGTTCGTCCGAACTTTGGTTTCCGCAAGATAATTTGCTTAAATATGGTTCAATTTTGATGAAACATGTTATGCATGTACACTATATGAAGACTGAGGCTAAGTTTGGGATTGAGTAAAATCCATGTATGATTACTCACGACGCAATAATAACTTGAATGCTGACAGCAGTTTACACACTCGCCTCGCTGGGTAATACTGTCGGTGTTTAAGCTCGCACACACCGACTGTTGTCTAAAAACATATCGACTGGACCCAACTACTTTGCTGTGCATACGACTGTTACCATCACCCGGTTACACACGTGTGTATTTATTTAAGCATTGAACTGTTTTTGTATGGTATTTGTGTTCTATTTGAATGACACAGCTTTGCAAGCAAACAACATAGTGCGCGCTAGCGCATTATGATTTGTTTGCTTGCAAATCTGTGTATTAACGTTTTATGTGCCTATTATGTTCCTTTTTGACTGATAATTTATATTTAAAATTAAAAATTCCCGCCTTATTGACAGTCCACACAATTTCGTTCAAAAATTTTAACAGCGTATTGTCGCGTGCTGATTGGCAAACAAAGTAGTAGTTTGCAATTTTAACAAACACTTCAATTTTATTCCACAATTCAGTATCAATACAATTGCGTATGATATGTCTATAGGGTGAATCCGACCTTGACCTCCACGAGGGAGTTATTTTTGGAAGTTAATTTGAAAGTTTCTCTTTGCTCATTTTGTGAAGAATCCAGACGTGAATTTATGTGTTGAGTGTACGGAAATCTGACTACAGTCGGTTGATTCTATATCAGCCTCGTTATTTGACATGTCGTGATCAAAAACTGAGGAAACCGTTGCTGCGCGACGCGCGAAACTGATACCGTTTGAAGTGAGTGATCTTGCGACGGAGCATAGGGGTTCGTTACAAATGTCTGAAATGTTTATGTGCGCTGTGACCCATATCAGTAGGTCTGTAACATATGTGTCAGTAGGTCTATAGAATATGTATATTTCAGACATTTGTAACGAACCCCTGTTGATCAGTGCAGTGTAACTGACGATATTTCTGATAAATTGCATGAGTGTTAAAATTGTTTCCATTGCCGGCATTGGTGATTTCGACCGATGAGCATTTTTACAATGACATTGTCAAGTCTCACAATGCCCAGCGATATTTCAGCAGCCGCCATGTTTATTTACATTGGATATTGTAGTTCCGGTCAGTGTTGTATTAATACGCTAAGAATTGTGTCTCGTGATGCATGGTAATTAAAGTCCCATGAACGACACAGCTTTCAAAGAGGTTATATAGTGACAATGCCATGCAAATGTAAATATTAAAGCATACACCACAGACAACTGTTCAGATATCTTATGTTGCTCATTCAATCAACTTTATTGCATTTAGACATCCAGAAATACAGGACCGCTAGCAATACAGCAATTAACAAACAAATCAAATGATAACATTTACCTGAAACAATTTATGCAGTTTACAAGCCTGTTTTCCAAAATTCAGACGACTTTTTGATAAAGAGGCCCGTTTGCGGCCTTCATTTTTGAAATAATGATGAAACTTTATAAAAACAATGAGTCTCTTCACTTTTTTAGGTACCTCAAAGTCCTGTAAAGTAAATATAGGCCCCAGTTCCTGCAACAGTTTTGGGTCATTAGATGAAATGCATACCTTCTAATTAGGTATTACAAAATTTGCATAGTCGGGAGTTGTCGAGGATCTTCTTATTTCAACCAACTTCGATTTCTAAATTATGGTTGCTCAATCTAATATTCAAAATAAGGTAGTGATAGGTAGCTTAAATTTCCTCTTTATAAATAACTCATACAATACAATGTATAAAGGTGATCTACTCGTGTTTGTTTTAATTAAAACATAACCACAGTGTGACACTATATTTGGTAAACAGTGATTTGGAATTAATGCCAGTGCATCAATAACATCCAGCTCTGTTAAGTCATACGTAAACTTTGCTTCGATCTCTCATCATTTTACTATCACTTCCTTTACCGACAGTCCTAGCAACCGTAAGCTAAAAATAGATCATATCGGACAGGTGACATAACCACACACGGCTTCAGCACTGATGTACCGATAAACTGACTCGCTGGGTTTATTCAAGGTAATATTGCCTCGGCAGTAATAAGCATACTGTGCTCTGATTCATTGGTTAATGGTTTATGCACAGTAATATTGTCAAAGATTGGTTTGGTTTTATTTTGTTTAACATCCTACTTACAGCAAAGATAATTTAAGGACGTGCCTCCATGTGTGTTGTGTAAGCGTTCATGTATGTATATGTGTGCCGGGGACAGGGTATGTTGGTTTCTTGCCTCCTTGTGATAGAGCAGATCTGATGCCGACTTTACAGTGCTATCCCACTGAAATATCATGCCGAAGGCACCCAGCACAGCATTCCACCTGGTCACATTATACTGGCAACGGATGAACCAGTTGTTGCAATTAACCTTACAGCTGAACGTTAAGCAGGGAATAACAACTACCAATTTTAAAGACTTTGTAATGTCCTGGCCTGGGGACAGAACCCACTGTCTTTCTATCCTGGGCAAATGCTCCACATTAAAGCCAGAAGTGAAGAATTGCCAAGCAAGGCGCTAGGAAATTTGAAGTAGTTAAAAAGAGAAAGACGGATAAAAATCCCAAATGTTGCAATGGGTGTTGCAGATTTATATTAGTCGTTTTTGTATCCCCAAGTAGAGGGCACTAAAGTAAATACCCAATTCTGCAGGTGTTCCCACCTTAGTCGCCTCTAACGATTCATGCAGTAGATAACAGCAGGTGTATTCTTTTCTCGATCCCAGACCTGCAGAGGATTATTGTAAAGAAGCCCGGATTCTGACGAAACTTGGTTAATATTTTTATTTTACTATGACAAAGGCTCAGCAAAAATGTGAGCAAAACCTGCACATAATTTATTTGCGATTCTGATGAGACTTCGTCAATGTTTACACTTCGTCTAATAGTAAAATCTCCCTGTTAAAAACGAACAATGAATTTGCCTTTGGTTTAAATTGTGTAGAATGAATAGATTATTGGCAAAAAGGGTTTGAAATGAATACAAATGGCGACCATTCCTATGATTTTTTTTTAAAGTTAAAAAGGTTCTATGAAATAAATGTATTCCTTTAAGTTAAGTTGGTCAAAACAGTATATATTCATTTCACCACATTCCAGAAATTATTCTCTACTTTAATGAGTAAAACAGTACAAATGTAGGTTTTTTTTTCTCTTTACAAATTTCCATATTTTTACACTATTATTGACAATAATGCACAAAGAATCCCTCGTGTGTGTGCTATTAGGCGCCAATGTAGTTGAGCCGGAGCTCACAACAGATTCATTGTCATGCTGACTCTCACATAATTACGCAAAAAAAGCCAATTTATAAATCTGCGTTAGTCGTCCGGAATATGTCCTCGTTATCTGTTCTAAAACCGAGTGTATCCGTGGTCGCTAAATTCAAGTGTGTCGCATGACTGCAGTTTTGGGGATAAAATAGTACTTTGTGTATGACGTCATCACAATATGTTCTCATTTTCAGGTCTATTTCTTGATAAACTGTAAACATAAACCAATAAAATGTGTGTTATAAAAATGTCAAATTATTCCGAAATGTCTATTTTTACTTTTCGGTTATTTTTATTTGATTATTCTGGTAATATTTTATTTCATCATATAATCAGTTTAGGGTTTACTGTAGTGTGTGTTTTATACGTTTTCTGTTTTCAATCGTTTTAATGCAGTACTCAAGCAAATATAACAACCCTTGACGTCACCACTATGCCGAAAGCTAAAGACAAAAGGATTTTGTCTAGAATCAGCCCAACAATGTCCCAGTCGAGTGATTCTTTGTCAGGAGTCGGTTACCGTACAGGCTGTAAAAAATCGCAACATACAAGTGAGTGATATGAAAAGAGTAGAATTGTTGATCTGCAACTCATTGTTATATGTGATTATTTCACAGGAAAGTATCAAAAGTGATAATGTTCACCATGATGTCACCACAACATTCAAAAGTCAATTTTTACAAAAGTTACAACATTTGACACTTTCAAACGAAATTTACGAAAATCGAAATAATTTCAATTCTGTAGCTGCCGAGCTACATTTGCTATTTGTGAGCAGATTCCTAAACCTCAAATCAAAACAAATGTAACATTCTGTTTATCATATACGTTAAATTGAAACTTGTCACTTTATTAACAAATACCTGCATCACATCAATCTCATTAAATGGAAACGGATGGAAATTGTATGTACATTGGAATGCTGCTCGGCAGATTATCAAAAAAAGTTTGTAAATAGTAATACAGAGAGTGTCCAAAACATCCGCATGTTCATCGCCATATTCATGTTACCGCAAAAGACTGGATGTCCGTCTGGTGGTGAGGGTATTGTTGTTTTTTAATAAACGTTGATTTGATATACACGTGTGTTGTTATCAAATGATAGTTTTTAGCCATTGACAAATAATAAACTGTCGTTACAAATTCGCTATGATGTGATGCTACCTGTTGTAAGTTAGTGAATCAGTGTTGAATATATATGGATAGTTTATGACGTCATAGTTTCTACTTCAGATATACAGTCTGAAGAATCGCCTTGAAGAGATGAAAGTACTAAAGACTAGTTGTTTAGTTTTTTTTATCTTTTTATATTATTCTTCGTCCGTAAAGATCACTTTTTCTGCATAATATATATATATATATATATATATATATTGCTTACTCAGTATAGTACAATATGTAAAATGACAAGAACTAGTGTCTTTTAAATTGATAAATAAACGTAAAACCATATTATTTAATTTGTTTAAATCTTCGACAGGAATGCATGCAGAAACAAATTTACGCAGTATTTCTGACTTCCCACAGTTCCACCCTGTTACCAAGGAAGCGACAGACAGTATTGCTCCAGTGTCAGCTTGTCTGTTATCGTCTGACCAGCAGAACATGTCCGAAAGTAAGTGGTTTACCACGGTATGACGATTTGAACGACTGAACAGATGTACTGATTTCATCAATATTTTAAGTTAGATATTCCTTAATAACTCTTCTATAGATAAATAGTCAACAGGCTATCGATAACCTGAATCATAATAAAGGAAATATGTCTCTGTATCTGTAAAGATATATTTGTGTGTGTGTGTTTTGTGTGTGGTGGTGGTGGTGGTGGTGGTGGGTAAAATGTTTGCGATTGTTGTACATAGAAGACATTAAAGTAGTTCAATTTGTGCAGTACACTGTTATTCACATTGTAAGTATGATTATATGCAGCTAGAATACCATTTCATGTCGACTTGGAGACTGTAAACGTGCTTTTTGAAACTGAATGTCGACGACGATGCCGGAATAACAGTTTCTTTTTCAAAAGTCACATAAACAATGCTTTTGAATTGTCATGTTAGAAGTAGGGAAAGAAAAACTGCATCAATCATTAACTAATAAAATGTTCATGTTTCTAATATTTGAAGCAGTATTTGCATTTGACTTGCATATACAGGTTTTACAACAGGAAAAAGAAAAAGGGATGATATCGACCCAGGCAGTAACAAAAATCCTAAATCACACCAGAGCACGAAACATTCGTTGAGATCTGTTACAGAAATGGTTAAAACCAACATCAAGATCCACAGGGCAGAGGAAAGTACAAGTTCGAGCAGCAGTAGCAGCAGCTTTGTTACTGGTGAGTCCAACACAATCAATATCTTGAGTAAAAAAAAACTCCCACTGAGCAGTAACAAACAGATCCGTATGCATTTCATTTTCGGTCCTCATATCCTTGTATGAGCAGACAATCGCTGTACAATCTGACACAGTATGAACGAGATGTGGACAATCTGACAAGGTGTTAGCTGGGTGAGGTACCTCTGGCCAGAGAGTTGCCAACGAGAGAAGACAAATCTGAAAGGGATACAGCAAGGGAGGCAACTATGATACATGAAAATGTCGTACTTTAGAAACATACATTCCTTGCTTCGTACTGTAGATAAAGATTGATAATTTAATAAAGACATTACTAGAACTGAACCTTACTTCAGCTAAGGCAGAACTATTTATAATTTGTTGTTACATAAGGTTAGTTAGTGCATCAATATAGTACCTGCACTGCCTACCTAGTACACTGCTGTATGTGAAAAATACCAAGAACGATCAGATTTAGCTTTCTACTTCGTTTGGGGATTAAGTAAAACTGCTTTTATAAATACAGTTTTATTTATCTTTGAAAGGAGTACATGATCATTTTAACTCGCCGAGCGTCGCTGGTACTTCGCAGTCTAGATGTGCTATTAAGAAAGAAACAGACAGCCATTCTTTATGGTCATTCGATGACTGGACATGTACGAGTAGCAGTAGCAGCAGCAGCAGCAGCAGCAGCTTCATTACAGGTAAAGTCCCACAAAATAAATACTCTGGTTTGAACACTGTCCCCTTTACCAGCAAAATATGCAGAAATTCTGGACATAAATTATTCTTTATTTGTCGACCTTCATCTCCATTGTTTGGCAAAATATCAACCTACCATTTGACACAGTATTAACGAGGCGTGGAAACTCTGACAGGACCATTTTGAAGGATTTGTAGCAAGGGGAGGCAACTATGATTTATGATTGGGCCGTTCTCGAAAAATAAAAAGACATTGCAAATACTGTCACCGTATCGTAGATAAAAAAATATTATATTACATAAATGCTTGACAGTTCGATAAGGATATTGCTACTGCTGAAAGCGACTTTACCGACATAAAAAAGTGAAGCACTTCCAGTTACATTCAAATTTCATGAAATTACCCTAAAAACTGTTATCTCTGTCGTAATTGGGGGACATATTGTTTTACCTTATTTAAAAAAAAAGATAAATTATGAATTATCCCATAACGCCAATCGTTTTACAAAATATCTCTTATGTTGGAGCTTTTATTAGATCAACCGTACATGTTTTTGTTAAAATCTTTTCAGTCTGATACACAGTTTTACCTAGCTTCAGGAAGTAACACCCCTTTTAAGTAATAATTCCTAAACACTTGAATTGTGCTATCAACTGAACATCTGAAAAAGAAACTGGAAACCTAACATAGGTTATCATCACCATAATCATCATCATCGTCATCACACAATCCTCCTCCTTCTCCTCATCATACAATCGTCATGATTAATCATCATTCCATATGAAAATCCAGCATAGCCACCCTTGGCCTTTCAGTTGGAGATATTGTATTTACAGGCTTCTCTCAAATCGATGTAATTCATGTTACACGTTGAGCCTCTTGTTTTGTTTTATTAACATTTTTTGTTTTGTGTTTTTTTTTCTGTAAATATTGGGGGTGTACTCTGAAGATATCATCTTTAATAATTTTTTATTAAGTGACTTATAATTTTATGTTTTATGAAATCGTTTACACATTGCTCATTGTGACTGTTGTAAGGTCTAGCTGGTTGTTTTTCTAGCTCCTCTTTCACTTATCGCCTTACTTCAGATTCTTCACATTTCCTATCTACTGCCTGTTCCAGATTTCGTATCCTGCTTCGTATTCCTTCATGATTTCTTTACACCTCTTCTCTATTTTAAAGTCTGTAAAAAGATTCTTTTCCACAGTTACTCTACATGGAGCACACAACCACATGGAGTCCGAATCAGCTTTGCCGAGAAATTTAGTGCATAAATGACCCCGACATTTCTGTCATTCCTACACTTTAGCAACATATTCGTCAAATATTTTCATACACATCTTGAATATCCATGACTCATCTTTGCATGGGGTTATAAAGCTACTATAAGATGTTTGTCACATTGATCCTGACTTTCCTCCTTTATCTCCTCGGGTTTTGGCTCTAGTCCCCGTGCCTCCGGATCCGGCAGCGGTTTGCTAGTTTACAACGTCGTTGGCGTTGCTAGCAATAATGACTGCCAAGTTTTTTTCGTTTTCTTCTCGTCCTTCACCGGGAAATTTCAGGAATTACACTTTTCAATAATGATGGAAACTGAGTGTCCTCTAAACGACCTTGTAAATGTTACACCGCTAAAATCATCGAAAATAAACTCCTATCATCGAAGCGTCAAAGAAAAGCGGCCGTTGTCGCTGACACCGGAAGTTAATTTTTCATGTTATGCATTAATTTCACTGAAATGGTTTTCATTTTATCAAATTATGAACAGATAGACAATATCACAACAAACCTCAATTCAAATATTCGATCATATTTTATTCTTTTATTTCCGATACTTACGAAACAACAACAAAATATTGATTGATAGTTTGCATTTGAATTTGTCTGAATACTGACTTTAATTAAAAACCATCAGGCTTGTTTTCAGTATATATAGATATGTAAATGTAGTGTTGAAACATATTGTTTGATGCTTCCGGACGAAAACTAAATTCAATAATAAGGGCAAAATGCAGCTAGTGAAGTAAGTCTGTACGCACGCATATCTACGCTCTTATCATGATGCAACGTAACATTTGTTACGTTTTTTGAATGTTACAGAGCGGAATCCCGCAAGAGCACCGCATCAGGTGGTCATAAAGGAGGAGCATATCTCAGATGACCAGCGTCCCCATGTTGAATACGAACAGCCATCACATCGGCGTAAGTATGTTTACAATGATAGATGGACCTACAATTATAAGTCCCTCATCGTTGTCCGCGGGGGTGACTATATGTTTTCATTCCGTCTGTTCTCCCGTACGCCCTTCCTTCTGTTCTATCGTCCTCTCGTTCGAGATGTTGTCCGGAACATATCTTCTATACTTTTTCACCTGGTGTTTTCAGTTTTAGTGTACAATGACATATTGGGATGGCGGAAAGCAAACTTAAGCTCACCATGACCTCACTGATACCTATGACTTTGCTTTGACCTTTGAACTTACCTTTTGAAAATTTAGAAATCATAACCAGTGGGGGACTTTGGTTTGCCTTGCAATACTTTCCCTTGTTTTACATAAAATCCTCCTTATGTATGGCTCCGCTCTGTGAGTTACGTTTAATGATTTTGATAAATCTACGTATTTTGAATACAGATGAACCTTATAAAAAGAGTAAACATAAAAAGGTGCCCGGTAGAGACAAAAAAAGAAGACACAGGAAATCTTCCAGATCCGAATCAATGTTGGAAGTAGGATATCGTCATATTGAAGAGGGTAGTAGAAGTGAGTTGTCTCCATGTTTATCACATTTACGTAAGTCCTTTAGATCGTGATTAATTACACTGAAATGGTTTTCATTTTATCAAACTATGGACAGATAGAAAATAACACAACAAACCTGAATTCAAGTATTTTATTATATTTCATTCTTTTATTACCGATACTTACGAGAATACGACAAAATCTTGCTCCGTAGTTTGTATTGGAATTTCTCTGAATTCTGACCATAATTGAAAACCACGAAAATCGTATTCAGTTAAAACATATTGTTAATCTTGGTATAGTTCATATTTTCCCATAGTACTGCTGCCTCCGGACGAAAACTAAATTGAATGATAAGGGCAAAATGCAGCTAGTGAAGTAAGTCTGTACTCACGCATATTTACGCTCTTATCATGATGCAACACAATATTTGTTACTTCTTTTGAATGGTACAGAGCGGAATCCCGCAAGAGCACCGCATCAGGTGGTCATAAAGGAGGAGCATATCTCAGATGACCAGCGTCCCCATGTTGAATACGAACAGCCATCACATCGGCGTAAGTATGTTTACAATGATAGATGGACCTACAATTATAAGTCCCTCATCGTTGTCCGCGGGGGTGACTATATGTTTTCATTCCGTCTGTTCTCCCGTACGCCCTTCCTTCTGTTCTATCGTCCTCTCGT